CTTTAAGAGGAGGCTGGATGAACACCTTGCTGGGGTCGTCTGACCCCAGTGCTTTTTCCTGCCATGGCAGGGGGTCGGACTTGATGATCTGTCAAGGTCTCTTCTGACCCTACAAACTATGAAACTATGACCCCGGTAAGGTGTTCGTCCAACCTCTTTTTGAATTTACCCAAGGTAGGAGCGAGGACCACTTCCCTAGGAAGTTGGTTCCAGATCCTAGCCACCCTAACATTGAAATAGTGCCTCCTAATCTCTAACCTGAACCTATTCTCCAGCAGCTTCTGGCCATTGTTCCTCGTCACCCCAGGTGAGCTGGGGGGGAATAGGGCCCTTCCTATTTGCTGCTGATCTCCTCTAACAAGTTTGTAGGCAGCCACCAAATCCCCACCTCAGCTTCCGCTTGCTGAGGCTGAACAGGTTCAGGTCCCTCAGCCTCTTCTCATAGGGCCTGCCCTGCTGCCCTCCAACCAAGCAGGCCCTCCTCTGAACCCTGTCAAGGCAGGTTGCATCCTTCTTAAAGTGCGGTGCCCAGAACTGGACGCAGTACTCCAATTGAGGCCGGACCAATGTTGCATAGAGGGGGAGTATCACCTCTCTAGACCAGCTTCAGATTCATCTTTGGATGCATGACAAGGTGCGGTTGGTTTTGCTGGCTGCGGTCTGGCATTGGTGGCTCATGTTCATCTTGGACTCAATAATGACTCCAAGATCCCTTTCTGCCTCTGTGCTCACAAGGTGGGAGCCCCCCAGCCTGTATGTATGCTGTGCATTCTTTCTCCCCAGGTGCAGCACCTTGCATTTGTCTACATTGAAGCCCATTCTGTTACCATCAGTCCACTTCTGTAGTCTGTCTAAATCTAATTGCAGCCTCTCTCTCCCTTTGAGCGTGCGTACTTCTCCCCACACCTTGGTGTAATCGGCAAACTTGGACAACGTGTTTTCTACCCCCTTGTCCAAGTCGCTGATGAAGATGTTGAACAGTGTAGGCCCCAGGACCGAGCGCTGGGGGACCCCACTATTCACATCCCACCAGGTCCAGTACGATCCATCCACCACCACTCTCTGGGTGCGCTCCCTTAGCCAATTTTTGACCCATCCAACTGTGTAGCCAAGGTCGCTCAATTTTTGACCCATCAATGCCAAGGTCACTCAATTTATTAATTAGAATGGGGTGAGAGACAGTGTCAAAGTGGGCAAAGGGAAGAAGAGTGTTGGGGGGAGAAGAGCAATGGGGCAGGGAGAGTGGGCAGGGGACCCCATAGCAAAGGGAACCTGGACATCCTCCGAGGTAAGACACCAGAGAGGGCAGTCAGCCATGGGCAGCACAGCAAGGATCTGAAGGGGCAAGGAGCAGGGATCGCAGAGCTGGGGCAGGGGCAGGAAAAGGTCCTCATGGTGCTGTGGGATGGCCCCTCTCCCTGACAGGGACCCTCTGCTCTGATCCACAGGCTGCCAGTGCCCGGCCTGCCTGAGGGGAAGGTCTGTGGGGCAGTGAGTGGGAATCAGATTCAGTCTGAATCCTGCAGCACAGGATTTCTGTGGATTTGCCAGAAAGACGCCGTCCTGATCCAGCTGCGGCTCTGATGGTGCCTCACAGGGCTTCCCTGCCTTCATCATTTCACACCTGGGAAAACTGAGACCCAAGGACAAATGGACCTGATTGAGATCGTGCAGCAGTAGGTGACAAAGGGACAATAGATCCCAGGTGTCCTGACTTTCAGCCTGACTGTGCTCCAAGTTGCTGGACCCCACTCATCCCAGAGCCAGCATATGACCCAGGCATCCTGAGTCCCAGCAGCCTCCACCTCCAAAGCACCAGATCCAGTTGTCCAACAAGAGCTGGGACAGGACCCAGGTGCCTTGATTTCCAGTTCCCTTTGCTCCAACCCACCAGATCCCACGCCTCTTCCCGAGTGAGGAACAGAACCCAGGAGCTCCGGTTCCCAGTTCCACCTTGTCATGGCCCACAGACCCAGTGCCCTCCTGACTCCAGTCCTCTGGGCCCAGGGAGCCAGCATGTCCCAATTCCCACTGGAAGGATGTTCCTGGTTCTCTCCTCTCACTTGCTTCAGCAGTGGTGGGGCCATGGAGTCCAATCCTGGGCAGAGCTAGGTCTCTGTCCTCCTCAAGGGGTCAGGGGTGGAGGCAGGGAGAGGTTAGATCTGCTATTCAGATCCAGTAGGAGATGCAATGTCGCCCCAGGGCTGTGGCAGAGCTATGGGTCTCCTTGTCAGAAAGGAGCCTGGCTTCATGCCCTGGTCCCCCCTACAAGGACCCATTCACCAGTGGGGGAGGTGGATTACAGTTGTCCTTGAGCTGAAGCAGGAGAACCTGGGGACACGCACATGTCCTGCACAGGGGGATTGAGAGCCCCACATGCCCTGCACTGAGTAGCCCCAGTGCCTAGCAGAGGATGGTAGTCTAACTCCTCAGGCAGGGGATGGGCAGGTGGGAGTGAAGCAGCTTGCATCTGTGGGGGCTGGACAAGAGCCCTGCAGATCCCTATAGACAACAGCTCCATGACCCTGACATAGAACAGGACCACCACAGGGTGGGAGTGACCTCTGGAGTCCCTGTTTTGACCCAGATCCAGAAGTGTGCAGGGACACACACCAGCCTTGAGGCTGGGCTCCTGGGTCACCAGGGCTCAAAACTGATGAATGGGGCAGTTTCTTGACAGGGATGAGGTTTCTCCTCTCCTATGATGGGCTGAGCCTACACACTACCTAGCGTGTCAAGCTGTGTTTGAACCTCTCCTGGACAGAGTCCCAGGCACATTCTTTGCTGTCAGATGCCAAGGTGATCAACTCCTGGGACTTTGCTAGACTGAGGGTCACTCAGGCCTCCACTCTTAGAGAAGCCCATACCCCAGTTGGAGCCCTAATGTGACCTGATCCCCTCAGCACTGGTTATAGTGTGTCCATTTGCACAGGGAGCACCAAAACATTCACGTGCTAAATACCTACACATGTGAAACACCCGACATGTGTCACAGAACACATGCATCCCTAGTTCCTCCCTATGCCCATGGCAGGAGGTCTTCAGCCCCTGGGCTGCCCCTCTCCAAGTAGACACTTCCACACACAGGAGATGGGCCATGGTCGCCCCCTCCCAGTAACACAACAGACACGTGGGCTTGTGAAGACACCTCTCCAGGAAAGCCTCCCCAGGGAGGGCCATGTGCCAGCTCCCTGTTGCACAGGTGTGCCACATCACAGCCACTGCACATCCCAGGGAAATGTCTTGGTAGGGTTGCTGGACACACAGTGCTCTCAGACAAACTCTAGCCAGGACCTGTCTCCTTGCTTCCACCCATACCATGCTCTCAGCCTGAGTCTGTTGCCTGTGAGCATGATGGGAGCCAGCCAGCAGCACCGTGGGAATAGAGTGACCCATCATGGCAAGATGCTGGCCCTTGGTGAGAGGGACCAGGTCCCACAGGGAGAGGGTGGAAGAGCCAGGAAACCCAGCCCAGCCCTATCACTGCCAGGGCAGCCTTCTGATCCAGCCCTGGGACCTGCAGCACTGACAAGAGCTGACCAGGCAGAGATCGCCTCATGGGTGAATTTAGTGGCCTTGGCCCATTGCTAGGGCTGGTTCAGCTCCATCCAGAGTTTGATCCAAGAGACTGAGGGGCCTGTAAAGTGCACCAGGGAAGCCTTAGATGAAAATTTAGAGCCATTGCATATGACACAGAGAGGCAGATCCTCAGCTTCTGTGTATTGTCACAACCCAAAGGGTGTGATTTTGTTTTTGTGTGCTTTGGCACTGCTAAATTGTTCCCGCTAAATTGCAGCTTCTTTGCACAGTGGAGTTTTCTGCTGCAAAAGAGAACCCCGGTGCAAAAGAATTCCCGCCACCAGTAGCTTTCTTTGCAGGGTGCATTTCTTTGTTGCAGCACAGAAATGCTTATTGCAAAGAGTTCCCGCCAGTTGTATGCTAATTCGAGCCCCATTATTGGCCAGTTCTAAATTATTCACACGTGGCGGCTAGTGATTGGCTTGCTAGTCATATAAAAGGCTTGAGTGGTTTCCGCCCAAGTTGGAGGACTCCACCAACACCAGGAGGAGGAGACTTCACGCTGTGTGAAGATCTCTAAGTGCTGCGGATCCTTATGGACCCAGCGCATTTCAAGCAGGCAACAGAGGTCTGATCAACCTCTAGGGTCCTTTCCAGCCTCTAGCCTCTCCCCGTCGCCGATAGATTCCTAGACGTATCCCTCCCTGCGCGCAAAAGGATCCACGAAGCCTAGCAAACTTCGTGTGAGTATATTTCTTGCCAGCTGGAACAACTGACATAGTTGTTCAGATGACCGGACTACCTCAGAGCACAAGTTCCACAGAGCCTAGCAAACTTCATGTGAGTCTATTCAGAGCTCTTTTGTACGAGTACTTTCTTCGGTTGACACGATGGGCTCGCGTGTTTAGAGCCTTCAGCCGGATTGGGCTAGAGTTCGCGAGTTTAGAACTCTTGTCCGCCTCTTATCTTTTCTATTTGTAACCGCAACTCAAGCAAGTTTTCCTGCCTGCACCGCGACCATCTTCGGTGTAAGTAAACAATCTTAAATCAACCATTACGCGTCCGTGCCTAATTCTAGCGTGTCGCCCGTTCTCTCCGATCCAGCGTGCCCGGGCTGCTGGCCACAGCCCGCGCAGAGCACAAAAAGGGCCCGGATCGCACCCGGCCCGCACATGTATGAGCAAAGCCCTGGTGACACAGATATAGCAATTTCAAGTCCCTGGTGACTGATCTGAGGAAACACTTGACCTATAAGTGATTGACTTACTAGGCAGGCTTATGAAAAGGAAGCCCCCGGTGGACAGCGTAGAGCAGTGAACAGAGGGCAGCAAACAGAGGGAGTTGACCTAGTGAACTTGTCCTAGAAGCGAGCCAGGGAGCAAGACAGTTTGTGTGTGTGCATGTGCGTGTGTGTAAGGTCCCAGGTGTGGATGCTTGGTGCATGGGTCAACGGAGGCACAAATGGAGGCTGGGTGAGCAGTTGTGACCTGTGTGGGATGTTCATTTTCCTCCCAGAGGGTCAGGAGCACTTCACCTGCACCAAGTGTAAGCTGGTGTCTGTCCTGGAGGAGAAGATTGAAGGTTGGGCACACAGGTATCCACGCTGCATTGCATCATGGAACAGGAAGATTACTTGGACAGGAGTTGTGAGAGGTGGTATTGGAGAGGCAAAAATGAGAAGTGGCAGTATGTGGCTGATCAAAGAAGGAGGGCCCCCAGAATCAAAGAGAAACAAACTGAAGTCAGCAACTGCTTTCAAGCACCCTGCAGTGGAACAGCTGAGGACAAGGCAAGGAAAAGGATGCCTGGGAGGCATGATGCAGATGACTCATCAGCCTAGAGCAGGGGTGGGCAAAATATAGCCCGTGGGTTGCATTCAGCTGAGCGGGCGCTTTGATCCAGCCCACTGCGCCCCCCAAGGAATTGTACTCCACTCAGCTCTTTTGCCCGCATGTAGGTGTGAGGGAGGGTGGGGAACTTGGGGATCCCTCCCACACTCCCCACATGGCATGCCACCCTGGCAGGCAGTGGGGGAGCAGCAGCAGTTGCAAGGGGGCACTGGTACTTGGAGGTTGCCAGTGCTGCACATCACAGGGAGAAGTGCAGCCCCTGCCGGGCTGTCTTTATCGCAGGCACTTTCTGCACTTGCGCGGCACAGGAAGAAAGCCTCAGGTACTGGGGTAAGTACTGGAAGCTACTAGATACTGGTACTGAAGCCTGGGACTTCCCTCCCGTGGCATGTGAGTGCAGGGAGTGCTAGCTATAGCGACTGCCTGGCAGGAGCTGGCCCTCCCACCTTCCCTCCCCTCCTCCCCTCCGCCACACATCTACACAATAGATAAGACTAAGATATTTTTTTAATTATTATGCAATCCCTTCTATATGCGGTACACAAACACAAATCATGACAAAAATATTCTTTGTAATAACATTAAAATACGTTATAGCAGGTGTTGGACTTTAGTGCATAATTTGTTTTTTTCTGGTTCCAAGATGGCAACTCCCACTCCCAAAAGGAGTTTTTGTGGGGAGCAAGGAGAGGGTCTTCCAATGGGCAAGGTCACGTGTTAGGGGTGGGACTTCCAGTCCCAAGATGGTGAACAGGGGGTGGGGCAACTGCCAAGGGGCAGAGCTACCCTTGTGGCCCTGAGCAGCTCACCAAACCTCATTAAGCAGCCCTCCACTTGAAATAATTGTTTGCCCCTTCCCTAGTGATTCATTTAGTGTTTCCCAGACAGGCTGGGTGGGGGCTCCAGCCAACATAAAATATATTTAGTACCCCCAAAATTGAACCCAGCCCTTGTTGCTGCTGAAAGGTAGCTCAGCAGAAGGGTTACAGATAGAAGCGGGAGGCCAGAGGGACTTCCAGGGTCCTTGCACATGGCCACCAGTGGGGATAAAATATCAAGGAGGGGGCAGACAGCAGTGTGCAACGTGGCAAGGAATTTGAGCAGGAGAGAGGGAAAGGACCTGTCCTTATGGTGCTATGGAGGGGAGGGCCCAGGGCAGGGCAGGAGACGGCATCAGTGCATCCCAGCAGAATGGGTCTGGGCCATGGCTACCCA